AGGGACTGGGTGAGAGGTGGACTCTGAGTCTCTCCTGGATTCATCCCTACCCACAAAGGTACTGACACTTCCTTGGGAAGGTTGGGCTGGGCTGGGGCTCTGCCTTCCTGAGCTCTGTGAGGCCCTTATGTCACCTCATCTCCCAGCAGACTGTGAGCAGGATGGGACCAGGGATGATCAGACAGAAACCCAACACTCAGAGAAGGAAAGCAACCGCCCAGCCCTACAGAAGGTGAGGCAGAGCTAGGAGCTGATCCAGGGCAGATCCTCCCTGTTCCCTCCTCTGAGCTGAGCCTGAGCTGAGAGGGGCAGAGGGGACTGGGTGTCCAGCCCCTTGTCCTGCCTGTCCCTCCCTGTACAGTGTCACCATCACTGAGACAGAGAGGACAGACCCCATAACAGCATGTCTTGGGGTGTCCCTTGTAAGGCCTTCTCTCAAGAGGTCAGGGCTAGAACCAACAGGAAGTTTAAGCTTTGGACAAAGATTCTCTCCTTTAAAGTTGGAGACACAGGCCCAGGCAGGGGAAGGGTGGGTCCAAGTCAGGAACTCCACAAGAGCCCGAACCCCTGTGTGGCTGAGCCCCTGTCCCAATGGAGGGATTCCACCACCTGCTTCACTTACCCCTCTGGGTGCCTGACTCCATGTTGGGGAACAGCCCATCCTTAGAGCCTCCTGTGGATAAGGATATGGGGTCAGACTAGAAGCTGGATTCTCCCCAGCTGAGATCAGTTGCCCATCCCAAGGAAGGGCCACAATGTCTTCCCCTGCCCTGTGCACCCCCCTTCACCTGGCAGCCTAGCAGCCTAGCAGCCTCAGGAGCCTGGTAGTTCCTGCTATCACTGCCTAACTCCCAGCTCCCCACCCCACACATAAGCCATCCGTGAGTATCTGGGGAGATTCAGTGCCCTCACAGACTCTCAGGACTTCCTGGGTGGTCCGTGCTCCCTCCGAGCCCAACTCTCAGTGAAGCACGAGCTGTGGGCCCTGTGGGTGGTGCATGGGGTCCCACAGGGTCCTGGGAAGGACAGGAACAGAGCGAGGAGCTGGTGCTGACCCTGGAGTGGGAATTGCACTCAGAATTCTCCTACATCTGTGCTGTGGCCCCTGAGACCCTCCCACTGCCCAGCTGATCCCTTCTGGATACAGGAGAAAAGGCTGTGGACAGAGATAGGGTGCCTCTAAGGGACAGATCTCCTCTGGATGATCTTCCCTAAGCCCCTTGCTCCCCTTTCAGCCCATTATTCTCCTTGAGACAGGTCTCTGAGCTGACAGCTCAGTAGACAGTGTCAGGAACCCTCACCTGAGATCAGGAGCTCCAGGGGATCACTGGGATATGACAGCAGATAGGTGGAGGAGCTGAGTGAGCTGTAGCAACTGTAGGTGCCCCCATCGGCTGAGGACACAGGATTCATGGAGAACTCTGCCTGGTACTCCTGACCTCGGTGCTCTGATCTCAGACGAAGGGAGGGATCGGCTGCCCCCTCCTTTGACAGAAGAAACATGGCCATTGGTTTCCGTGACTGACACAGCAGGGTCACGTTCTCTCCTGAGGCGACCCTGGGTCCTGGCTTCACTGAGAGAGAGGGTTTGTCATGAAGCCATCCTAGAGAGAGAACGGTAGGAAGAATGAGGGCTGCCTGTCCATCTTGTTCTGGCCTGAGAGTCACCAGGCCTCTCTCTGGGGACTCTCCTCTCTGTCTCTGTTCCTCTGAGTCTCCCCCTCTAACCTCCCACCCGCTGCCTCTCTCTGTCTCCCCCGCCCCCTGGGGATGCAGCACCTTCACTCTGGCCTCCCTACCTGATACCCCCAGAAGGGCCTGTGAGAGTCTGGGTCCCTGACGGACCCACTTGCTCCTCACCTGCTACCAGAATGTCCAGGGGGTCACTGGGGGCCGACCACTCAGAGGAGAGGTTGTATCCACCGTAGCATCGGTACCGGCCCCCGTGGGAGCTTCTCACAGTGTCCAGGAGGAAGTGGGCCTGAGAAAGCCCAGCCTGGGGCTTCAGGACAAGGCTCTGGGGGAGGTCCTGTCCCCCCTCCTTGTGCAGAGTGAATCTGTCATAGCCGACATCAGAGCGACACTGTAGGGTCAGGTTCTGTCCAGAGGCCACAATTGGGCCCTGCTGGCTCAGGAGGGAAGGCTTCCCAGACTCACCTGGGGAGACCAGACATAAATGACCTGGGCTACTCCTCCCATAAACCCCTTCTCCTGTCCTGGCCCCCAGGTCTCACTGTCTCTTTCTGTGTCTCTGGCCCAGGAGCTCCTGTGCTCCCCTCATCCTCTCACATGGGGTTCCCTTCCCAGAGAAGATTCCAATGTGTCTGGTGCCTCAATCCATGGATGGAATTAGAAGGGGACTTACTCACCTGAGACCAGCAGTTCCAGGGCATTACTGGGATGTGAGCACACCTGGGATCTGTTCTTGTAGCAGCCATAACATCGGAACCTCCACCTGTGGCTGGGGGTCACAGGACTCACAGGGAACAGGGCCTGTGACAGCCCACTGGGCTGTGGCTGCGAATCCAAGGACCAGGAGAACCTGTGATCTCCTTCCTTAGTCAGAAGGAACCTGTCAAATCCCCGCCCTGAGCGACACTGGAGGATCACCTTCCCTCCTGAGGTCACGACAGGACTGGGAAGGGCTGAGAGGCTGGGTTTGCTGTAGAATCCTAGGAGAGGAGGAGGCAGCGTGTTAACTGGGGATCACACCTCCCCCATGTTCCCCAGGACTGGGCTGTGAGAGGGAGATACCATGAGAGCAGACCCCCTACCTGAAGGCAGAGCCTGATGCTGGGATCCTGAGTGTCCTCTCACCTGTCCCCACCAGCTCCAGGGTGTCACTGGGCTCTGACCAGTCACTGGGGCTGTTATAATAATAGGAGTATCTCCCTGCATCCTGCCCTGTCATGTGTGTGATGGTGAACTTGCCCTTGGCTGTGGACTTCCTTTGAGTCCATGTGTTCGCAAGCACACATTTTCCTTTTTTATACAGATCAAACTTTTTGGCCTCCCTGGTCCCCTGACACCGGAGGGTCACAGGGCTCCCTTCAGGAATCACAAAGCCTGGCTCAGCCCAGAGAGTGGGTTTGGGGAGGGGCCCTGGAAGGAAACTAGAGGCTGCATTACAAAGACCTTCCCCACCCTCATCCCCAGCTCAGCCCAGGACCTCTGTGCTCCCTCCTGAGCCCCAGTGGTGAAGGAAAAGGAGGGACAACAAGCTGGGGAGGACTCACCTGTCTGCACTTGCATCTTATGGCCCAGACTCAGCCCTGGAAGAGAGTCCCTGTGAGAGATTTGCATCCTGACGTCTCAGCTGATTCCCCTCCCATCAGGCCCCGTCCACTTGAGCTGCCTGAGCCTGAGGTTCCCCATGAATAAAGGGGTGCCACCCCCTCCTGCTGCCATTTCCCATGTCCACAACTGACCGAGGCAGAGAAGAACGAAGAGGATGGACATCATGGCGTCTGATCTGGCGGCCCTCGCTCTGCAAATGGAGGAGAATCAGGGCCGGAAAAACAGACGCACAGGATGTGGTGGGTCAGAAGCTGCTGCAGCCCTTCCGAGTCCGTGAGCTCTGAACCCACAGCTTGTGGACTCTCCCGCCCTGGGCCTGGCTCTGAGTTTCCCCAAACTAAGGGCTCAGGAGGAGAGAATTCTCTCCGCTGGTCAGGTGCCCTATCCCTCCAGGCGCTGAAGGAATTTTGGTCCTTGATTCCTAGAGAGTATACATTCCGTCTGGCCTTTGGATTCTGTGGCCAGAACTTTGAATGGACTTTGCAGAATCAGGTTGGTGCTGTGCATCCATCAGGAAGCAGTCTCAACTCCCACTGGACGTTTTTATAGCAGAGGCGTTAGTCGTTTATTCCTCAGTTGTTCACATGGAGCTCAAAAATGGAACTGCCCATGGACCCAGTAGATCCCACTTGTGGGAATATATCCTCAGAACCCAAAACACCAATATGAAAGAATGTATGCTCCCCTGTGTTCATAGCAGCGGTATTTGCAATAGCTACGACCTGGAAACAACCCAAGTGCCCATCAAGTGATGAGTGGGTAAAACAGTTGTGGTACATTTACACCAGTTAATCCTACACAGCTGGGGGGAACAAAGGAAATCTTACTATTTGAAACATTATGGAGGGACCTGGAAATTATTACACTAAGTGAAATAAGCCCATTAGAGAAAGACAAGTATCCCATGATCCTACTTATATGTGGAATCTAATGAACAAAGTAACTCAATCAAAAAAATAAGTCCAGAGGCATGCTACATGGAAGAAATGGACAAAACTCAGAGAAGGGAGGGGACAGAAAAATATTAACCAAAGGACTTGCCTGCATATATGCATAGCTCAAAGACATAGATATTAGTTGGTATGCAGTAGGCCCATGGTTGGGTGTGTGCTGGGTGGAGGGGGGCATATAGGCAGATATAAAGGTCATCTGTAATCATGTCAATAAGAATACAAAAGTTACAGTATTATCTTGAAGGGGAAGCTATCTATATAAAAGCCTAAGTAACCAAACAACCAGTTGACTGGTCACTATGACAAACACTGACCCCCAAGGGGTAGACGCTAAATGCAGGATCTGGCCCTGGTTGTCAGTGCACTCCCACAGTGGGAGCACCTTTCAGCTGACCTATGTGAGCCAGACACTGGGCTCACTGCTGGTGAGCACAGCTGTGGGGGTGTGAGCCTCACCTGCCTCCGTGGTAGCACTACCACACGGTGGCAGGTGCAGTGGGCGGTCAGGATGAGCAGGTTTCTTTGATTATATCCCCAGAAGTGGAATCACTGGGTCAAACAGTAGTTTCATGTTTTGTTTTGTTTTTCTTGAGGAACCTCCCTTCAGTTTTCCACACTGGCTGCACCCGGCTGCATTCCCAGCAGCGGTGCACGAGAGCTCCCTCTTCTCCACATCCAGCACCTGCATTTCTCTGATGATGAGTGACTTTGTGAATATACAGCAGAGTGAGGACAGGCTCTGCAAAAATGGTGCGGGGAAAATTGGACAGGCACATGCAAAGAAGAACAAGAAGGAGAAGGAGAAGGAGGAGGAGGAGGAGGAGGAGGAGAAGGAGGAGAGGGAGAGGGAGAGGGAGAGGGAGAGGGAGAGGGAGAGGGAGAGGGAGAGGGAGAGGGAGAGGGAAAGTGGAGGAGGAGAGGGAGAGGAAAAGTGGAGGGGGAGGGGGATGCGGAGGGGAAACGAGGAAGAGGAGGAGGAGGAGGAGGAGGAGGAGGAGGAGGAGGAGGAGGACGACGACGACGACGACGACGACGACGACGACGAGGAGGACGACGACGAGGACGAGGAGAAGGAGGAGGAGAAAATCTACCACCTACTTACACTATACACAAGAGTACACCCGAAATGAATACAAGCCTTTAATGTCGGTCACAAAGGCACAAAATTCCCAGGAGAGTGACACTTCCTGTGTTGTCCCCTTAGAACCACGCGAGGAGCAGAAATTCACAAACACTAAGTCCATATTCAGCTCCTGTGGACCTGCACTTCCTGAGGCTGAGGACTTGGGGACCAGGGTGTTTCTGTGGAAGGGGAGGCAGGGGCTGAGCCCAGCAGAGAAGGTCACAGGATGTGGGGGGCAGGGTCCTCACACCACACATACACACTGTTCACAAGGCGCTAGCCTCACAGGAAGGCGACAACCTGCTTCTCAATCTAAAAATAGCAGGTGCTGAGGGTCTGACTTTCCAGACTGCCTACACGTATTTTTTTAATTTTTTTAATTTTAATTTTTATTTATTTATTTATTTATTTATTTATTTATTTATTTTTAATTTTGTACAGAGAAGAAGGGAGAGAAATAGAGAGTTAGAAACATCGATGAGAGAGAGTCATCGATCAGCTGCCTCTTGCACACTCCCTACTGGGGATATGCCTGCAACCAAAGTACATGCCATTGACCGGAATCAAACCCGGGACCCTTCAGTCCCCAAGCCAACACTCTATCCATTGAGCCAAACCAGTCTCGGCACGTATTTGTTTTTTTATTGAAATGTTTATTTACTGGGGTGACATCAGTTCATAAAATTATACAGGTTTCAGGTATATGATTCTACACCAGGTCATCTCTATATGGTATTGTGAGCTTATCACCCTAAGTCTAGTCTATTTACCCACTTTTTTACTTCCCCCAAGCCCCACCCTTTCCTCTGGCAGTCACCACAGTATTGTCTGTGTTCATAAAGACTTTCTTTTATTTCTCTGCTTAACCCATTCGCCCTTCTCCCCAAACCTCTTTCCTCTGACAGCTGACAGTCTGTTCTCTGTATACACCAGTCTCTCTCCACTATGTTTTATTTTGTTTATTAGATTCCAAATATGAGTGAAATCATAGGGAACTTGTCTTTCTCTGACTGGCTTATTTCACTTGACATAATTCTCTCTGGGACCATCCATGCTGTGGCCAAAGGTAAGAGTTCCTTCTGTATTTCACAGCTGCATATTATTCCATTGTGTGAATGTACCACAGCTTTCCTCTGCTGGTGGGCCCTTGGGCTGTTTCCAGATCTTGGCTTTTGTAAATAATGCTGCTGTGATCACAGAGGGGGATAGATTTCTGTGTATTTATTAATGATAAGCCATTCTGAAAGTTGTGTGGTTTCCATTTCCCTCTCTCTGATGATTAGTGATATTGAGTATCTGTCCATATGTCTACTGGCCATGGGTGTGTCCTTCTTGGAGAGGTGTCTATTTAGGTCCTTTGCCCAATTTTTTACTGAATTGTTTGTTTGTTTGTTTGTTTGGTGTTGAGCTTTATAAGTTCCTTATAAATGTTGGACAATAAGCCCTTATTACATGTATTGGAAAAATAGTTCCCCATTCAGTGGGCTGTCTTTTCATTCTGTTGATGGTTTCCTTTGCTGTGTCAAAATGTATCCTTTCCTGTGCCGTGCCAGCACCTCCAACGGTTCTGTGAGTCTGAGGAGGGTCAGTGAGGAATTAAAGATAAAACAAAGAAAGAGAATATAGCTGTGGCTCTGTGGACCTCCTGTGCCTGGATGAGGCCACAGAGAAGGATCCAGCCAGCAAGCTGAGGTTTTATTTTGTAGTCAGAGGGAAACAAGGTAGTGGTAAACATAGTTACCATGTTCTTGTGAGTTTCACTTGTTTGGGCAGCACCTGCTGCACCTCCCACAGCCCATTAGCTACCCAGGAAGGATCTAGGGAGAAGCTATAAGGTCAGGCTTAATTATTCTAAGAGGGCTCTGCCCTCTAAGCTAGGACCTGTTTGTGGCTCTGACACAGGTCAATCCAAGGTTTAACTCTAGAGCTGCTCCCTACAATTTCCTCCTTACACCTTCATTTAAAAATTTTTTTCTACTGTTTAATCATTTTTAATTGACCATTTTTATTAAAGCATAGTTGACGTACAATATCATATTAGTTTCCAGTGTACAGCATGGGTAGGATATTTAATATTGACTATCTGCCCTTTCCCTTCTCACCCATCCTTCCTTCTCTCCCTTCTGGAAACCATCAGTTTGTTGTTGATTTCTATGGGTCTGCTTTTGTTCCCTTTGCTTTAAGGATGTGAAAAATCCCAGAGATAAGTGACATCTTTTCTTGTCTGAATCCTTTCACTCAGCATAATACACTCTAGGTCCATCCATGTTGTCCCAAATGGCACGATTTCAATCTCTTTGTGCCTGATCTATATTCCATTGTGCATACATGTCACATCTTTATCATCTAGTTGTCTATGGATCTAAGGATTCAATGCAATATTTGTTTTTCCCCCTAAGTTCTTGACATGATAGATTAGGCCATTGATTTATTAAGGTTCTTAATTTTATTATTTCATGGGTTTGATGTGTCACATTTACATTACCATTTCAGTTAAAACTTTCACTTGTTTTTGTTCACACTTTGGTTATTGAGAAGTCTATTTTCCAAAATTGATTACCAAATGTAGAGATATTGGCTTAACTCTACATTTCCAAATGTAGAGGTATTCACTATAGAATGAAGTGATTCCCCCAAAGTCCCAGGGGCACCTCCGGTCTCCACGGTGGATGAGGCACTAGCTGAATGTCCAGGGGGGCAGCTTTCCTGTCCTCTGGGGTCCCTGCATGCCCCTCCATAGAGTGTCTGGGTCTGAGTCTCTCCAGAGCTAGTGGATGGCTAGAGCAGCATACACACAGGGCTCTTCTGGGGGCTCCTCTGATGGGGAGGATGGGAGTGCACTTGTCTGCCTTCTAAGGGCCAAGAGGTTCAGCTGGGCATAGGTCACATCCTGGGGGGCATCAGGTGCAGCAGCCTGGAGCAGGGGGAGAGAGAGGGATGAAAAGTGTTTGGGTTCTGAGAAGTCTCAAGGCCCAGGGAGGATGGGACCCACCTGACTATCCATCTGTCTGCCCTCTTCTGCTTGTCTGTCCTTTGGGTCCAAAACTGCCCCTGATAAAGAAGAAGGAGAGGTGATCATTACCTGCCTGAGTCTTGATGTTGAGCAGTTCACCTGGGCATTCAGATTTTAACAGCCTGTTCTGCTGGGGAGAGACAATGAGACAGAACAGCATTTCCTGAATCATTTCACTCAGCATAATACTGTCTAGGTCCATCCATGTGGTCCCAAATGGCAGCATTTCATCCTCTTTATGCCTAATGTATATTCCATAGTGCATACACGCCACATCTTTATCATCTAGTTATCTATGGATCTAAAGATTCAACGCAATGGGTTTTTTCCCCCTAAATTTCACTGTTGAAATATTCCTGTCACTTATCCTCATGTTGCCAGATCCAGCAATAACTTTAAAAAATCATCCACCATGACCAAGAAGGACTTTTTCTGGAGATGCAAGGATGGTTCAATATTCCCAAATCAATAAATGTGATATACCACTTCAACACAATGAAGGATAAAAATCACATGGTCTTATCAATAGATTGGGAAAAAGCATTTGTGAGAATGTTGCATATTCATGAGACTGAAAAGGATGAAAGATGACCTTACATCTGTGCATTTGTGCTAATAACAAGGGTATTCTTCCTAGGTTTTCTGATTTGAGATTCTGGAGAAATCTTTTTCTCAGCTGACCTTCTCCATCTATTTATTTTTCCTGTGCAGGTGCTCTGTGATCCCCACTGTTTGACCCAGGTCACCCCGTTCTCTACTCACCTGAGGTCCTGCCTTTGTTCTGACACCAGTGTTGGAGGAGGAGGAAGAGGAAGAGGGAGAGCAGCGGGACCATGGCCACCAAGACCCCTATCCAGTACCATTTGGGACCTAGGACATTAGTGAGTCAATGATGCCCTTTAATGATCACATATTGTATGGGAGGCATGTACTGGGGTCTGTCATTTATCTCCTCTCACCTCACACGGTCATGCACCAGGAATTGCTGACACCACCACCCACTTCATTGAGGCTCAGAGAGGTTAACCATGTGCCCCTGGTCACCAGCCTGGATGGGACAGGGCTGGGACTGAAATGAGACTCCTGGTATGAGGACCTGGGGTTCCCTGGGCTGGCCTCAAGCTGCCCCCCCCAGGGGGACACCAGCTTCATGCTCTGGGCTGGGCCTGTCCACGTCTCATCTGGAGCTGAGGGTCCTTCCTCATTACCTGCCCCCTGCACAGCAGGGACAGGATAGTCCAGGTAAGGGGTGGACTCTGAGTCTCGCCTGGATACCTCTCCATCCTGCAGGCCCTGATGCCTCTTGGGAAGGTCAGGCTGGGCTGGGGGCTCTGCCTTTCTGAGCTCTGTGAGGCCCTTAAGTCCCCTCATCTCCCAGCAGCCCGCGAGCAGGATGGGACCAGGATTGAGCAGACAGGAACCCAACACTCAGAGGAAAGAAGGGACTGTCCAGCCTCACAGCAGGAGCAGCAGAGCCAGGAGTTTACCCAGGGCTGATCCACCCTGTTCCCTCCTCTGAGCTGAGCCTGAACTGAGGGGGAGTGTAGAGGGTCACCTGAGAAGGCACATGGACATCCTTTAAATTGTCAGCTGAGCCCACAGGAAATCTAAGCTGTGGAAAAGGATTCTCTTATTTCACACCTGGAGACACTGACGCCCAGACAGGAAGGGCAGGCCCACGTCAGCAAATCAGAGGGGCCTGACCCCCTGCATGACTCAGCCACTGTCTCCCATGGAGGCACCCACCACCTTCCCACAGAGCCCCTCACACACCGTGGATGAGAGAGACCGATCCTCATAGACTCCTGGGATGAGGATGGGGCAGTAGGGTGGAGGCTGTCATCTCCCCACATGAGCCCAGCTCCTCCCCAGCCTGCACCCCCAAATCTCCTTCTGCCATGACCACCCATCACCTGCCTCAGACCCAGGGACTCACTGCCCTCCCATGACACCCGCCCGTCCTTGAGGATCTGGGTCACTCGATCCCCTGACAGACTCTCAGGACTTGCTGAATGAGCTGTGCTCTGTGTGAGCAGAGCTCCCCAGGACTCACCAGCTGTGGAGGTGGGCTCTGTGGGTGGAGGGCTGGTGCCTCCAGAGGATTCTGGAAGTGAGCACAGGAAGAGAGTGAGGGGCTTGGGCTCACCCCGGACAGACACCTTCTTACATCTGTGGGGTGGCCTCTGAGACCTCCCACTGCTTCAGTATCCAGGTGAGGGGAAAGGGGATGGACGGGGTTGAAGGCCTCTAAGAAAAGGATCTCCTGGGGGCGACCATCCCGAGAGACCCTCACCCTGCTTTCAGCCCATATTCCTTCTGGACACAGGACCCTAAACTAACAGCTCAGCAGACAGGTTCAGGAGCCCTCACCTGAGACCAGGAGCTCCAGGGGCTCACTGGGGACTGACAGCAGGAAGGCAGAGGAGCTGCGTGAGCTGTAGCACCTGTAGGTGCCCCCATGGGCTGAGGTCACAGGACTCATGGAGAACTCTGCCTGGTACTGCTGAGCTTGGTGGTCTGATCTCAGACGCAGGGGGGTATCGGCGGACCCCTCCTTAGACAGAAGGAAAGTGTCCCTCTGGCTCTGTGACTGACACAGCAGGGTCACATTCTCTCCCGAGGCCACCCTGGGGCCTGGCTGCACTGAGAGGGAGGGTCTGTCAGATAGCCATCCTAGAAAGAAAGAGGGAGGGAGAGTGAGGGCTGCCTGTCCACCTTATTCTGGCCTGAGAGTCAGCAGGCCTCTCTCTCTGAGGAACCCCCTTTCCATCTGTCTCTGTTTTTCTGTGTCTTCCCCTCTCCCCTCCGACCGTCCTTCCCCCCCTGTCACTGTCTCCCTCCCTGCGCCCTGCACTTTCATTCTGGCCTTACCACCTGAGACCCCCAGCAGGGCCTGTGCAGAGTCTGGGCCCCCGACTGAACCCACTGGCTCCTCACCTGCCACCAGGATGTCCAGGGGGTCACTGGGGGCTGACCACTCAGAGGAGAGCTTGTATCCACCATAGCATCGGTACCGGCCCCCATGGGAGCTGCTCACAGTGCCCAGGCGGAAGTGGGTCTGAGAGAGCCAAACCTGGGGCTGCAGAACAAGGCTCTGGAGGAGGTCCCGTCTCACCTCTTTGTGCAGAGCGAATCTATCATAGTTGGCATCAGAGTGACACTGGAGGGTCAGGCTCTGTCCATAGCCCATGATGGGGCCCAGCTGGGTCAGGAGGGAGGGCTTCCCAAACTCACCTGGGGAGACCAGACATGAATGACAGGTGCTACTCCTCCCATAAACCCCTTCTCATGTCCTGGCTCCCAGGTCTCACTGTATCTCTCTGTGTGGCTAGCCCAGGGGCCCCTAGGACCCCCTCACAGCAAAAAATGTCCATAACCTGGTTGATATCTCAGTCCTTGAATGACACAAGAATGGGACTCACCTGGGACCAGCAGTTCCAGGGCATTACTGGGATGGGAGCACACGTAGGGCATGTCCCTGTAACAGTTATAGCATCTGAACATCCACCTGTGGCTGGGGATCACAGGGCCCACAGGGAACAGGGCCAGGAACTGCCCACTAGGCAGCTGCTGTGAGTCTAGAGCCCAGGAGAGTCTGTGCTCTTTTTCCTTAGTCAGAAGGAACCTTCCAAACCCCTGCCCTGAGCGACACTGGAGGGTCACATTCCTTCCTGAGGACACGAGAGGGCTGGGCAGCGCTGAGAGGCTGGGTTTGCTGAAGGATCCTAGGAGAAGAGGAGGCAGGGTGTTAAATCAGCTCACACCTCTCTCATGTCCCCCAGGGCTGGGCTGTGAGAGGGAGACACCCTGAGAGCAGACCCCCTTCCTGAGGGCAGAGCCTGAGGCTGGGACCCCTGAGTGTCTTCTCACCTGTCACCACCAGCTCCAGGGGGTCACTGCGTTCTGACCAGCCAGTGGGGTTGCAATAGTAACAGTGATATATCCCTGCATCATGCTCTGTCATGTATGTGATGGAGAACTTGGCCTTGTTCCCGGGTTGCAGTGGCTTCTCTTTGTATCGAGGTGCTATGATTGTCCCTTGATTCAGACGGTACTCCTTAGCCCCTGGGGAACCCTGACACCAGAGGGTCACGGGCTGCCCCCTGGGCATCACAGAGTCTGGCTCAGCCCAGAGGGTGGGTTTGAGGAGTGGCCCTAAAAGGAAGCCAGAGGCTGCTTTACAAATCCCTTCCCTCTCCCCCTTATCCCCCAGCTCAGCCCAAGACCCTCTAATTTTACCACTTCACCCCAGCACCTCTGTTCTCCCTCCTGAGCCCCAGGGATGAAGGAAGAGGAGGGACATGGAGCCTGGGGAGGACTCACCTGCCTGCACACGGGTCCTCTGGTGCAGACTCAGCCCTGGAAGAGAGTCCTTGTGAGAGATTTGCACCTGGACGTCTGAGCTGATTCCCTTCCCATCAGGCCCCATCCACTGGAGCTGCCTGAGCCTGGGGAATAAGACAGGCAGCCACCTTTCCTATTCCTCCTCCCCACGTCCACAACTGACCTAGGCAGAGAAGAGCAGAGAGGATGGACGCCATGGCGTCTGCTCTGAGGTCTCCTGCTCTGCAGATGGAGGAGGTCTGGGCCTGATGGACAGACACACACAGGATGTGGTGAGTCAGGACCTGCTGTCCTTCAGGGTTTTCACAGCTGTGGACCCACAGCCAGGGGAGGGTACCACCCTGGGCCTGGCTCTGCATCTCCCCAGAATGAGGGCTCTGGAGGCAACAGCTTCTCAGGTTTCACCTGATCCTCAGGGTCTCCTGTGTCTGCTGATTTGACTCCTGCTCAGAGAGGATGGGACCCACGTTCTGGTCCTGACTCAGGCCCTGAGAGTCTGGCTCTGAACAGCCCAATGGGACACCCGGCCACAGCTCTTGAGGGAGCTCATTTATGAAAGACTCTGCTGAACTGTATCCCAGTGGCCTCAGCATCCCCCCCACCCCGCCTTTTCCTGGTTCAAGGGTCCTGGTAGGTTCTCATCCCTGCCAAGCCTTCGTGTTCACTGCCTTTTTAATGCTCATGATTCAGTGGAGGTATTGGTACTACCCTGTGCTTTGATGTACATTTATTTCTTCAATGGTTTATATAGCGCAACACTTTTTAAATTTTTTTCTTTTTTTTTTTTTTAATCCTCACCCCAGGATATTTTACTTCCATTGAATTTGAAAGAGATTGAAAGATATAGAGAAAGGTAGAGAGACAGAGAAAATAGAGAGAGAAACATCGATGTCTGAGAGGCATTAATTGGTTGCATCCTACATGAGAGTTGAGAAGCAAACCTGCAACCAAGGCACAGCCCTTGACCAGGAAGCAAACCTGTGGCCCTTAGGTGGTGAGGCTGATGCTCTAACCACTGAGAACACCAGCCAAGGCCAGCTCGTCACCTGTACATACTGTCACTGCACATTGGTATGTCAGTATCAGTTGCTTGATAAAGGTGTTTGCTTGCTCTTCTATTGCTCTCTGCTGCCACATTACAGATCTGTAATATTTCTTAAGTGGTCTGAGTACCGGTCCATGATCTCATATTGTCATCACAATTACCTTTTCCCTATCTCCCTAGTGTCGATGGGGAACATAAGTTCTTCATGTTAGTGATTCCACTGTGTCCATTTCCACCTAAGTTCATGTTATGGTGTCCACTTGAAGTAAAAAAGTCTCTCCCACAAGTTAATAAGATAGTTTTGGTAAAAGAACTACTAAATTGTTTATTTTTTATGTTTTGATCTGTTGCCCATCTGGCATCGCTTATTGTAAATGCTGTGAAGCAGGTAAGATGTTCACCATGTCCCAGAGATTCACCTACTGGCCCAGCACCACGTGATGGAAAGACCACGACTTCCCACTGAACCATCCAGGTGATTCCACAGGCGGGGTCTGACCTGGAGTCTTCCTTCTGCTCCTTTGGATGAGGTGTCTCTGTTTTTCAATCTCTCAAACTTCTATAATCTCCATCAGCACTGAATGGCTGGTTTCATTTCCTTCATCTCTCAGTTGAGAAGAATTCTCACCATGTTTGTGGGGTAGTTGTTGGTATTGCTGAGAAGTCAAGGGAGGAAGTGGCTGGCTCAAGTGTCCTCCAACCACTCAGCTGGTAGTGCCACACCTGATACTGAATGTACCTGTGTATGTCACTGCCTGAGAACAGGATTTCCAGGAATGTTGTTCTTGTCTGAATCCTGAAGAGTCTCCAGAGCTTGAAGGAGAAAGTGACACCCGGCCTCAAAGGTGCTCTGAAGGGACAGAAATGACGCAGATGATTGGCCCCCAGGACATGGAGAGATCCCGTGCTCACAGAGACAGGGAGTCAAGTGGAACCTGTGTGAGATGTAGAACCTGCAGTGCCCAGAGGAGGCGCTGAGCTTCCTGTGGGAGCAGAGGCATCTTGCGCAGCCCCAGACTCCTACCTCCCCAACCCTGGGCTCACTGTCCTGAGGGCCCCTTGGTGCCCCAGGAGGGCACCTTCACACCCCCCAATGCAGCCATCAAGTCCACCTCCTTCCTGAGCTCTGAGCTCCACACCCTCCCCTCTCCAGTTCACTCTCAACATTGGCCCTTGCCACTCCCTGTCAGAAACTGTTTATGACTAAAACCCTCTTATGGTCCTCACTGTCTTCAGGGAGAGTCCAGTCTCTTCCTCTGAGCTCAAGGCTGCTCATGATCATCCAGGTGTGACCCTCCCATTTCAGCTCTCACCCCTGCTTCCCTCAGACAGATGAGTATAGCTGCCCATGAACACACACACTTACACACACACACATGCACATTCATACACACATTCACACATACATACACACACACACAAACACACATAGCTTCTAATTTTTTAATGTAATAGTTTCATTATCATTTAATCTAAAATATTCACTTTGATTTGGATTCACACATTGATTATTGGGAAGACTGTTGCTTTATTTCTGAAATGTAGGCAATACGTGTTGGAATTAATGTATGTTGTTTCAAGTCTATGAGGTTTGGAGATGGTCTCAGGGGCCCCATGAGGGGTCACGGTGTGACCCTACCACTCAGCTGGTAGCACCACAGGTTGTGTGGGCAGGGAGGGGAGGAGGTTCACTGGGATGAGTTTAGTTGGAAGATGAGTTGGCCTCACTGGGACTGGAGAGTATAGCTCAGCCTGATCAGCATCAGCATGGACTGCGTGGTAGAGATCCTGGATGAGGCTGGAGTCAGGGGGGAACCGCGGACAGGCTTTATGTAGGGATGGTGGGTGACAGGAACATTTGGGGCCATGAGAATGAAACACCTGAGTTGACAATGAGGGTCTGGAGGAGGCCAGAAGAAGGCTGATGCGGTCACACCAATCAGCTGTCCTGAGCCTTCACCCAAGCTTATCTGTGGGGAGAACTAGGTCACAGAAAGAAGAACCTAAAGCCAGAACAGTGGGATTGGTTCAGTGTGTGAGTAGGTGGGAGGGAAGAATGGAAGGCTCCTCCTGTCTATACCTTGGCTGCCTGCAGGAGTCCATGGTGTGCCCTAGGCTCTGTCAAGGTTTTTGACAGCCTGAGAGATGTTACAACACTGTCAATCACCCACAGAGGCAACCAGCACTGCCCTCGGAGCCTGGGTGTGTGCGTCTGCTTCTCCCTATCACTTCCTCCCTCTGACTTCCTTGTTTGGTGAGCAGAGCTCCTGCTTTCCATCAAAACTTCGGAATCCTTTCTGCCTCCTCATAGCCTCTTGTCCCCCAGACTGTCCCTCTTTGTCTAATGCTGTTTATTCCATCTCCTTGCTTTGGGTAGAAGAAAATGTGGAAGAAAATTTCCAGGTCATAATTTAAGACAGGGGACACATCTATTGAGAGTCTACTTGGAGCCAGTCTCTTTCCCTCTCCCTCTTTGCCTGTTGGGCAAAATTGTGAAACCTCGCTTCTGAGGGTTGTAATGAGGATCGGCATTTCCTGAGACATGAAGGACCACATTTGTCATTTTCTTTCTTTCTTTTTTATAACTATACATATATTTTATTGATTTCCGAGATGGAGAGACAGGAGCATCAATGATGAGAGAGAATCATTGATTGGGTGCCTCCTGCTAGCCCCACACTGGGTATGGAGCAGACAACCCAGGCATGGAATCTTGGAATCCAACCTTGCCCTCCTGGTTCATAGGACAATGTTAAACCACTGCACCACACTGGCTGGAAATCTGGTGTCATTTTCTGAGCTAGTGAAGGCATGTGTATGAGAGATGTGTGGTAGGAAGGGCTGTGTGGAAGCTGCATGTGTATCCCCCAGTCTACAAGATAGATCAGAAGCTGAAGTGTATTCTTGGTTGAATGGCAGATGAGCACAGACAAAAGGATGCAGGATGGTAAGCCTCATCCTAGATCCTAGACTCAGCCCAAGTCAGGAGTAAAAGTGGACATTTCATCGGCGGGTTGGTCCCTAAGCACTAAGGCACTTAGGGCACCTAGGACCTGGTGGGAGTCCTACTCCCATAAAACTCCACGGACACCAGTGGGGCAACCTCCAAGGTAAAGGCAGCTGAAGGGAACCATGCATGTTTCACTTGCATTTATTTTTATTAAAACAACAGCCACATAACATTCAATTGAAACCTTTGAAATATGAAATTCAATAGGATGCAGTAAATACAGAATGTCTCAAAGACAATGTCTATCTAGTTTCAAGAAGTTTTTATAACCAAACACCAAATAGTCCATCTCCCATCTGCCCTCCTGATCAAGCCCAGACAAACCAATTTGACTTCAGTTTCTATGGGTTTCCTTCTTCTGGACATTTTGTATAAATGGAATCACACAACCTCTGATCTCTTGTGTCGTCTTCCTGTCACTGAGCTGCATTATCTTGACGTTCGCCCACTATGTACCAGGTACGCGTGCTTTGTTCTTTATGGTTTAAAAAATTCCAAGGTTATGCAGATACCTTATTTTGTTTGGATGGATGTGACCCAGCACGAAGGGGTTTACAGATGGGAATCGGAACCAGCTATGTGGGATGCACCCTCATGTCACAGGGTGAGAACAGGAGGGCAGTGGAAGAGGTCAACGAAGTCAGGGACGGAGGGAGAGCACCCCAGGTGGATGGCAAAGGACATGGCCCATGTTCTCATGCACCCAATTCTCATCTACCTCGTCTGCTATCCTGGACATTCTCAACAGACAGTTTCTCCAACTGTGGTCCCAACTTTCCTTCAGCACCTCTTGGGATCCTCCGATGGGCTCCAAGCTTCCCCCAATATGAATGGTGCATTGTTCCCTCTGTGTTCACATCCTGGCTGCTTGGAGGGCCATTTTGGTGTCATTTTGAGCCAGAAATAGCAGCACCCCGAGGACCACCAGGACCAAGCCAGTCACGCCTATCCGGATGAGATTCTCCACTGTGTAGTCTTGGGAATAGAAAATATGAATTGTGGGTAAAGAAGTCTGAGTTCAGAGCAGATGTAAAACTCCAGGATGT